TGTATGTATGTATGTATGTATGCATGTGTGTGCCTGCGCACACATGGTGTGAAACGCACGCGCACACGCGCACATGTATATCCCGCCGCCGCGATGTCCCCCTCGGGGCCATATTCCTCCACCATCTGCGCCTCCTAGCCCACATCTTCGATCGGGACCCGAAGAAAATGCGCGTCTGCGCCTTCCAGAACATCTGCCTCAACAGCACACACGCCTTCTTCCTGCTGGAGCCCAACCCCGCGGACAAGGTCGCCCTGCCGGCCGATGTGGACCGGGTGAGCCCCTCGTCGGCCGGCCTGGCCGAGCTCAAGAAGGACCTGGCCCTATGCTCCAGCGGCGTGCCCAGCCGCGACCTGCCGCTCATTTGCCAGTGCTTCACCCGCATGACCAAGCCGGTGATCGTGTCCGAGGCCGACATGAAGGCTCTCCGTGCGTGGGCCTCCTCCTTCCCTGAAGACTCTTCCTCTTCCCTGCTGCGCGCTCGCTCCCTTTTAGGCGTCCACGCCCTGCCCCGTCCGCGCCACTGGGGGCTCTTACTCACCGCCGGCTGTCTCTACTTCTCTCGGCATTCGGGTGTGTGTGTGTGTGTGTGTGGTCTCCCCCCCCCCCACTCTGCCGCCCTCTCGCCAACACCTTTCTTTCCCCCTGTCGCTCGCACCCGGGTGCGCGCCTGCCCATCACCACTTCAGGCCCTACGGTGCGCGGCCACCACTGGCTCATCGACAAGTTTGTGTCTGGCAACCAAATCGGCCACTGGGCCGAGTCACTCGGGTTCTTCCACTCGATTGTCATGAACAAGGAGCACTTTGGTTTGTACGTCCCAGTCATGTTGTCCCATGCGCACGCAATCCCCAGACCCCCCCCCCCATCCCCCCTTCCCCTTGCTCGGTCTCTCTCTCGCCCCTCTCGGAGCATGCGCCGACTGTTGTGTGGGGCGGCCCCCCCCCCCCCCCCCCCCCCCCCCCCCCCCCCCGCCCCCCCCCCCCCCCCCCCCCCCCCCCCCCCCCCCCCACCCCCCCCCCCCCCCCACCCCCCCCCCCCCCCCCCCCCCCCC